TCTGTCCGACACTTACGCTTACGACCAAAACAGCGCTAAATATGACTTTGATTTGATTGAGATCTTCAACGACCGATACGCCATCAAAAGGGTTTCACTCAATAACTATAACGTGTCCGACACTCTCATCACTATGAAGTCCGGTACCGTCGCTGAACTCTTGAAGTGTACGACACCACCGCCATCAGCACCACCACCAGGAGGTCCAGTGACACCGCCACCACCACCTGGAAGTTCAGAGACACCGCCACCACCACCTGGAGGTCCAGAGGCAGCACCGACACCACCTGAAGGTCCAGAGGCACCACCGACACCACCTGGAGGTCCAGAGACACCCCCGGCACCACCGACGATAACATCCCCTAAACCGTCAGCGGGACCTCGAAAAGGAGATAAGAAGTCTGGCGGATGGACGGCTTTGTGGATATTTCTAATTCTGCTCATAATAGTGATCGTAACCCTACTTGTCCTCTACTACTTCCACCAGGGCTTCCATAAGACAATCAATGCCATGTGTGGATGTGGTCCCAGACCTGAGAGAAATGATATTGAATTAACGGGTCGAGGAGGTGCTGCCGCTGCTGCAGGAGGCGCCGCAGGAGGTGCCGCAGGTGGAGCTGCCGCGTCATCATCGTCGGCAGCGCCTAAATCTGGTGCTCCTCCCGGACCCAGTGATAGGCCTCCGTCTGGCGGTGGCAGTGATGAGGCGATGAGCGTTACATCCGTTGAGGACAATCTGAACAAATAGATGAATGTATCAATAAAAATACAATTCATTCATATTGTCATTACATTTAATTATAGTTGTGTTTTTGCTTTTGTAAAACGGTTCAAAATTTGTTGTAAACCAGTTTTATGTAATATATTGTCCAAACATTTAGTTGTTTTTCTAAATTCACATTATTTTGTAATTTTTGTTAAAAGGATTAAATTTATTAAATTCAATTAAATAATTTATTTATTGTAAATTTCAATTTGTAATGTTATTAAAAAGTTGATAAAATCTATGCAATTCTTTAGTATTTATTTAATATATTCTATTACTTTATTTATTTAACTTGAACAATTTACCAATTATTAGAGACAAATAAAATATGTTACATGATTGCATAAATAGAGCTGAAATTTATGAAATTTTATTTCAATTTAAAAATAACAGATTTAATATAGCACTATTTATGCTAGGTACAGGTTATGTCATATATTTTATCTGTCTCACATGAATTTTTAGTAATAAATTATTACTAATAATTGAATTGAATTGAATTGATTAAATTAATTGAATTACTTTGAATTTCAAACACTTTTAGTCAAACATTAAAAAAAATAACAGTTATTGAACCTAGATTATTCATCTGTAGTGGCTAATGATTTTGAAGATTTAGCCTTTATCAGGATTAACATAATCTGTACAAATACGTGTCGGGAGAGGATCAGCTGAACATACTCTCCCTGTTCCTCAAGTATCCCGAGGAAGGCCTTCAGAACCGAATGCAAGCCGTCACTAACTTTCCGTTTCACGCAGTGTCTGGACTTAAGCGCAGATTCTTTGTCTATTATCTCGGTATTTGGTCTTATTTTCGTGGTTTAATGCTATGAATTACAGTTTTTTTTGTAAAAAACTAGAGATTCTGTCTGAAAGTCGATTGAAAGCCAACCCCAGTCTAAAGCCATATGACTTCAAGAGACATATAATGAAATCAGTTTCAGTTAATTACGATTTGATTGAGTTTTCCGACGATCTCTATTACATCAAAAGGGTTTCCGTCGCCACCAAAGTCTCGGAAGATCTTCGGCTATTAAGTAACGGCTCAATTTGGCAACTATTTGGGTGCCACGAGTCACCTTCCAGTATCCCCGCGATTATTCCTACGACCACCACCACAACCAGTGATCCAGTTCATCCGGGAGATAAAACTAAAACTCTCGGACCACTTCAGGTGGACCTACCGTACCAGCCAAACAAAAGCCGAAACCTACCAGTGCCTCATCATCTGTGCTCTGGTGGCTGATCCCCGTCCTGTTAATTGTGTTGACCCTGGTTGTAAAATGTAATGAGAAGTGCCATCAGATTCATAAGATTTCATAAAAATTCACCACAAATTGTATTATATTGTCGTCTATTTGCTTATTATTAAGTTTTATATAAATATACTTTTTTATACATGCTGCGAATTAGAAATTTTATCTAAATATAAAAATTATTAATTTTTTTGCTTAAATAAAACTTCATTGTATTAATAAAGTTTGCAACTTGATTTATTAGCGTAAGTTAATGGAGATTAACTAGAAATTAATAGTATCAAAGTCTCCTGATTTTTGTACTAAAGTTATTAGCGATAATAACTTATTACTAATATAATATTAAATACACTCTATTTGTACTTATTTTGTACTTATGTGCTTATTAATAAAATTTAATAGCTTTCTTTTAAGGTGTCAACCGCTAAGTACGTACGCACTCGTAGAGGGAGGGGTTCCCAAAGCGTATGTCCCCATGTTACACTCCTATGTACTATACGATGAGCGTGTAAGGGGAGGGGTCCATTGTTGACCACAATTTTGCCTACGTACTTTGCGAATGACGCCTCAATTTGTTTATTAATTTGTTTTATCATTTTGTATGATACTGTACAATCTATAATCTATATCGGTACAATAAACAAAGTTTTAAGCCCAGGGGTGTCAAACTTTTAGTTTTGGTTTATTACAAAAATTAATTATTATATTATATCAAATTCAAATATATAAATGTTTTTTAATAAGTATATTAGAGAAATATAATTATTATAATTAACTTAAATATACCTTGTATGTAAATATGTATGTATGTAGTGTTTAACAAAAGCCCGGCTAAAATAGTGGTTTGCACTTAGACAATGGTCAAAACAAATTTAATAAATGTACGTAAATATATACTAAAATAATTGTACCTAAATATAAACATAATTATAGTATATTATCAGTAATTTCCAGAGTATTTAAGCCATAGTCTTTAAATCATACAAATATAGTCTATTATTGTGGTCATAAAATAACAAAAATTAAATTTATGTTCAAAAGTTGTTCACAATAATTATTTGTTACAATAAATGCTATGATGGACATGTCGTTGATTTCATGGATAGGGTTAACTGCCTTATCAATAATTGCCCTTTTATATTGGTAATTATTGTTACTTATTTTAATGAACTAATTTTTATGATCAAGTTAATTAATTTTTATATATTTAGGCGCTTGACACAAACATTTAATTACTGGACCAAAAGAAACCTGAAGGGACCTAAACCTTATCCATTTGCGGGCACTAATCTGTATACCTTTATCAAGTGCATGCCTTTAGTTGAATTGGACTGGTATAAAAAGTTTGGATCACTTTATGGGTATTTAAAATCTTATTTAACAAAATTACCAATTACTTAACTTACTAATATTATAGCAAGCAAAACTAACTTGTAAGTTATTATTTGTTTAGTTAAAAAGGTTAATTAAGATGATAACGAAATAATTTTAACATTTTTTATTATTCTGTAACTTTATAGGAAATTAATAATAATTTCTTGATTTATTATTTATTGTAAATTTTATAGTTAATTTAGATTAAATTATATACACTCATATTTATTAAAAATCATATATAAAACTAATTTAATTATACCAGGACATTTAACAAATCAGAACCAGTGCTGAAAGTGGCCAAACCAGAGCTGATTAAAACCATTTTAGTGAAGGACTTCCACCTGTTCTCAGATCGCGTGTATAGACCGGCGCCTCACGAGGTGTTGGATAAGAATCTGATTCACTCGAGAGGCGAAGACTGGAAGCGCTTGAGATCTATAATGAGTCCCACATTTACGTCGGGAAAGATGCGTAAAATGTATCCAATGATTAGGGAATGTCTTAACGAGTTCTTGGATGAGCTCGAGG